AAGTACCATGATGTCTTTGCTCATTTTATCTTATATTACTGCTTTGGTTAAATTGAGAAAGAGTGGTAATTATGATACTGCTATATATAGTAAATTATTCTTATATTCTTATATATTATACTTTGTATATTCTTATAGAAGAAACTTTGTGAATTAGTGGAGAACACATGAAAATACTGATGTTCTGAAGTCTAAAAGGCTTTCAAAAGAATGTCAACAAGGAATACCATCTCCAGCTGTTAAATATGACAAAAATATGACCAAAAATATTGAGGATGGTAAAACCTGCCTTTGGATGATTTCATAATCAAATTAACACCTCAGTGACACAGGAAGAATCATAGTTTGAAGCCAAAATCTTCTAATGTAAAATGTGCATTGCAACAATAGTGGAGGGATTGAAAAGGAATCTCATAAAAATGGGTAATTCACGTGTGTAGGCACTTCTCAAATGAAGAAGTACAAATGATCAGTAAGTTAAAACCAGAATTAGATTTTTATACTACTCATTACACAAGGATTCATGTGTAACTAAAAGGTAAATGGGGAATGAAGATGAACAGAAAAAATGCTGAGAAATAAGGGATGCAAACATCTTCCCATGGGTCAGGAAATTCTTGACTTCTATGGAATTGATCTTTAAGGATATGCACTTCTGGGAGCAGAAGAATAGTAAAATAACTGGTATAATGAGGAGCTTTGGATATTGAGCTCCTGGGGATCCAGAGACTGTAGAAGTCAGCCTGTGACCACTTCCCTCACAGTCCTGCTCAGTCAGGAAGAAAACACCTGAGCCTTCTGCTAAAGATGATCTTTGTTGACCAGAAGTGTGGTGGTGACTCATTCAGCTTACCTGTCCTTCTGGAGAACACATCTCCATTTGCAATACCCAGGTGAGATGTTGAGCATCGCTTTTTTTTTTTTAAGTCAACCAGGTAACAAAGTCCCATACTTAATGCTTTGGAAGTGAGGTAAGACATGACTCATGTATCTAATTTATTTATTATTTATTTCACCCTAGTTGCTACACATTTTATATCTATGCCAAGTAAATACTGGTATTATTGATGCTTCCTTTCTGATTTTTCCACCATGACAATCCTACCCAAAGGTAGTTGAAAGACATAAACACTTTCCTAGGATTTTAATTTATTATGCTAGCAGTGCTCTTTTTCTTTTTGCTTTCCTCAGTTGCTTTGGTACATTGTTTCTTTATGAAGAATGAATAGTTTCCTGTATATCAGTACAAGACAACACAAAAATAAACCAATAGGAAATATGAGCATAAATGTTCCGTGCACTGATATCTGTGCTGGGTGTTTTCATCTTTTTGTTTCTCATTGTACAATATGCCCGTAGCTCCTTTCCAAATCTATATAAAATAATTGAATAAAATGTATCTACGGAAGGCATAAAATGAAAAATGATTACTGCAATAAAAGGGGAATCACATTATTCTTGTACAAATACGAGGTCTAGATTCTCATACCCTTGAAGATTTTCCCCGTTGTGAAAGCATGTGTTAAGGCCTGGGTCACATTCAGCATGTGTGATTCCAGTTTTGCGACAAATGACAAATGATGTTGGAGCCTCCTTTTTATATCTTTGAAGAAAGAGACCGTTGTTCTGCCATGACATTCCTAGTAGCATCCTGATTATCTTCAGTTATCTTACAAATCTTTTTTTTTAAAGTAAGGCAGCTTTTCTGCCCTGATAACTTACGTCCTCCTAAGACATCAAATCCTCAATGTCTGGAGGGTGCAAGTTCTAACTTCCTCATGTAGAAAACTCCATAGATCCTCCTATCTTCTCACTTGTCATATTATGTTGTGGTTTCTTTTCAGTACTTGGAAATTTTTATCTTATTTTTTACATATTAAGATAATTTTCTTTGTGCTATATGAAAAAACATACACTATTTTATAAGTACCATGATGTCTTTGCTCATTTTATCTTATATTACTGCTTTGGTTAAATTGAGAAAGAGTGGTAATTATGATACTGCTATATATAGTAAATTATTCTTATATTCTTATATATTATACTTTGTATATTCTTATAGAAGAAACTTTGTGAATTAGTGGAGAACACATGAAAATACTGATGTTCTGAAGTCTAAAAGGCTTTCAAAAGAATGTCAACAAGGAATACCATCTCCAGCTGTTAAATATGACAAAAATATGACCAAAAATATTGAGGATGGTAAAACCTGCCTTTGGATGATTTCATAATCAAATTAACACCTCAGTGACACAGGAAGAATCATAGTTTGAAGCCAAAATCTTCTAATGTAAAATGTGCATTGCAACAATAGTGGAGGGATTGAAAAGGAATCTCATAAAAATGGGTAATTCACGTGTGTAGGCACTTCTCAAATGAAGAAGTACAAATGATCAGTAAGTTAAAACCAGAATTAGATTTTTATACTACTCATTACACAAGGATTCATGTGTAACTAAAAGGTAAATGGGGAATGAAGATGAACAGAAAAAATGCTGAGAAATAAGGGATGCAAACATCTTCCCATGGGTCAGGAAATTCTTGACTTCTATGGAATTGATCTTTAAGGATATGCACTTCTGGGAGCAGAAGAATAGTAAAATAACTGGTATAATGAGGAGCTTTGGATATTGAGCTCCTGGGGATCCAGAGACTGTAGAAGTCAGCCTGTGACCACTTCCCTCACAGTCCTGCTCAGTCAGGAAGAAAACACCTGAGCCTTCTGCTAAAGATGATCTTTGTTGACCAGAAGTGTGGTGGTGACTCATTCAGCTTACCTGTCCTTCTGGAGAACACATCTCCATTTGCAATACCCAGGTGAGATGTTGAGCATCGCTTTTTTTTTTTTAAGTCAACCAGGTAACAAAGTCCCATACTTAATGCTTTGGAAGTGAGGTAAGACATGACTCATGTATCTAATTTATTTATTATTTATTTCACCCTAGTTGCTACACATTTTATATCTATGCCAAGTAAATACTGGTATTATTGATGCTTCCTTTCTGATTTTTCCACCATGACAATCCTACCCAAAGGTAGTTGAAAGACATAAACACTTTCCTAGGATTTTAATTTATTATGCTAGCAGTGCTCTTTTTCTTTTTGCTTTCCTCAGTTGCTTTGGTACATTGTTTCTTTATGAAGAATGAATAGTTTCCTGTATATCAGTACAAGACAACACAAAAATAAACCAATAGGAAATATGAGCATAAATGTTCCGTGCACTGATATCTGTGCTGGGTGTTTTCATCTTTTTGTTTCTCATTGTACAATATGCCCGTAGCTCCTTTCCAAATCTATATAAAATAATTGAATAAAATGTATCTACGGAAGGCATAAAATGAAAAATGATTACTGCAATAAAAGGGGAATCACATTATTCTTGTACAAATACGAGGTCTAGATTCTCATACCCTTGAAGATTTTCCCCGTTGTGAAAGCATGTGTTAAGGCCTGGGTCACATTCAGCGTGTGTGATTCCAGTTTTGCGACAAATGACAAATGATGTTGGAGCCTCCTTTTTATATCTTTGAAGAAAGAGACCGTTGTTCTGCCATGACATTCCTAGTAGCATCCTGATTATCTTCAGTTATCTTACAAATCTATGTTTTCTTGTAAGTTTCTGTTTTCTGAATATGAACAAATAATTTTTTAGAAGTCTATGTATGTCACTACTTCTCTTATTTACATGCTTTAGAAACGATATTCCACATCTTATAAATTGCTAAGGAAGTTCGCATGTAGTTTGCAGAAGAGTCTTATGAACTTCAAGTTGAGAGGTAACCTTCTGTAATCTTTGTTCAGGTCCACTGGAGAGATGTAAAAAATATGCTGCAACTAATTTCATAGGTAGAGATGGACATAGCCTGAAGAAGGAAAAAGACTAGAGGAAAATATTAATAAATGGTGAGATCTGAATTATCAGTGAGCAATGATAATTCTGTCTTAATTGTCACCAGTTAGTGTAGGTAATCATTTTGTGTAAGATTGAAACCGTATGACACTAGGTCTGAAGAGAAAATGAAGTGAAAATTTATTACAAAGATGGAGTCCAGAACAAAGGAGACATTTGACTCTTATGAAGTGTTCAAAGAATATCATTAGTCATTAAAGTCTTAAAGGTTCAAGGGTCTATGGTTGGAGTGGAGTTTAGTTACTTGTATGGGCTTCTCCAGTCTTCCCAGGAAGTCTGCTATCTTATCTGAAGGAGTGTAGCCAGTGCCTCTTTGATTAAACATCCACTTTCTTTCTTTCATTATTGCCTGGAACTGTAATTGCCTGCTTGTTTCTTGCCAAGTTGTTACTTCAAAGTCTTTCCAGCTCCCTGCCTCAGTATCCAGAAGCATTAACAGTGCAAGATCCAGAGGATTAAATCAGCAATTAGTATGGCTGAGGTCAAAGGTGGGTTTTGCCAAGTACTGTTTATTTCATATCCATGATGTAACCTCGCTCTACCTAAGAATTCTCTTAGGTAAATGGGGATGAAAGCAAAAGATCACCTATGTGTAATTTGACACAACCTTGTGGTTTTCTAAGGGAAGTCAGATTAGGGAATCATTGCATCAGAAGACAGATTTCATAACTGCACTCTCATCTTTGGCTTGTGTAAGGTGTGGGATATTTCTAATTGGAAATACCGAGCCCAAGGAATGAAATAAAGTTGATATGCAATAAAAATGTGCTTCAATAGGGGGAGTGGAGGGTAAAGGAGTGCAGGAAGGTGGATGGAGGTATAACCTAGCAGAGGAAAATATTTGCATGTCACTTGAGTTCATACTAGCCATGTGATAGTTTGGCCATTGAATGGACTTACGTTCCCATTTCAGCATATCTAGGTCATCCAGAGGGTTTATTGTCACATTCACTGCTGGCCCCATCACCAGAGTTTATGATGAATAAGTTTGGTTATGGGTCAAACAACTTGTATTTCTACATGTTCCCCATGATGCTGCTGATGGTGCTAACACATTATTTCATTCCATATTTTCATCGGATGCAACATGGAAGCTATAAACCAAACAGATGTTGCACATTTTTTTCTTCTGGGAATAACAGATGATCCAGCACTGCACACACTCATCTTCAGCCTGTTCCTGTCCATGTACCTGGTCACCATCCTGGGAAACCTGCTCATCATCCTGGCCATCAGCTCTGACTCCCACCTCCACATCCCCATGTACTTCTTCCTTTCCAACCTGTCCTTCACTGACATCTGTATGAGCACCACTACCATTCCAAAAATGCTGGTGAACATCCAAGCACAGGATCAGAGCATCACCTACACAGGCTGCCTTACTCAGGCCTGCTTTGTTTTGTTTTTTGCTGGTTTGGAAAATTGTCTCCTGGCAGCAATGGCTTATGACCGCTATGTGGCCATCTGTCACCCCCTGAAATACACAGTAGTCATGAACCCCCGCCTCTGTGCTCTGCTGGTTCTACTTTCCTTGCCCATTAGTACTCTGAATGCCCTCTTGCTTGCCCTGTCAGTGCTGCGGCTGTCCTTCTGCACAGATCTGGAAATCCCCCTCTTCTTCTGTGAAGTTGCTCAAATCATCAAACTCGCCTGTTCTGATGCCCTCATCAATAACGTCCTCCTATCTGTTGCAGCTTTCATATTTGGTGGCGTTCCTCTCTGTGGAATCGTTTTGTTGTACGCTCAAATTGTCTTCTCTGTTTTGAGGGTTCCATCAGTTAAAGGCAGGTCAAAAGCCTTTTCAACCTGTGCGTCTCACCTGACAGTTGTCTCCCTGTTCTATGGGACAGGAGTGGGTGTCTACATCAATTGTGCAGTTACAGACTCCTCCAGAAAAACTGCTATGGCTTCCATGCTGTATTCTGTGGTCCCTCAAATAACCAACCCCTTTATCTACAGTCTGAGGAACAGAGATATGAAAGAAGGGTTAAGGAAGCTCTTCAGTAGGGTGTCTTCCACTCTGTGATATGCCTTCCACTTCAAATTGAGACTTACAGAGCAGGCCACACTGACAGATACACTGGTGTGTTAGAGTGCTTGACTCTTCCGTCACCGAGTTCATCGAAATGACCAGATGATAATACAAAGGCTAAGTACATTTCAACTTTGTACTTCATGTATTGGTTCTCCCTACTGAAGGACAAGTTTGTCTTTCCATTTACTTGTGTCCCCTTAGATCACAGTTCTTATTGTAGAGGGCTTTCCCTTCCTTGCTTAAATTAATACTTAGGTATTTAATTGATTTTGAAACGATTGCGAATGATATTGTTTTCTTGATTTCTTTCTCTTTGTGTTCTTGTGATGTACAGGAATGGCCTTGATGTTTGTGCATTGATATTGTATCCTGGGACTTTGCAGAAATTATTAGCAATAACTACGAATATTAATAATACTCATTAGTAAGAATAATTTTGGTAATGTTTTGGTGGTATTTTGGGGTTTTCTCTGTATTAGATTATGTCATCTGTAAATATGAATATCTTAACTTTTTCCCGTTTTGTGTATCTCTTATTTCTCTTCCCAGAGAGCACTGGCTAAAGTTTATTTTTTTCTTGAGTACGTACAGTTTTATTAATTCCATGCAGTACTGAAAAACTATGGTGCAGGGGCCAATTCAGGACCACTGAGGAAAAACATGTGACATCAGAAGTTTTATATTCTTTCAACGTACCAGTAAACTCAAAGTAAACTTTTGAATTATATGGAACAGAAGTGGCAAGAGTGGGCTGGACAATCTTTTCTTGTACCTGACTTTAGGGGAAAGATTTCAGCTTTTTCCCATTTAGTCTGATGGAAGCATAGGTTTGTTATTAATGGCTTTGATCAAACTGAGATACGGTCATTCTATACCTACTTTTTCTTCAGGATATTTATCATAAATGGATTTTATCAAAGCATTCGTATGAATCTAATCAAACAATCATGTGGATATTTCCCTTGCTTCTGTTTACATGATGTATTACATTTATTAATTTTATGCCTGTGGAACTATTCTTGCATCATGAGGATGAAGCCAACTTGATCATGATGTACAATATTCTTGATGATATGCTACATTCTGTTCACTAATACCTTGTTGAGAATTTTTTTCATTAAGTTTATTGGTACATTTTAGGTATACAGTACAGTTACATTCATCATTGGAATCTTGTGCCTTTACATGAATGGTCTTGGTTCTCATTTTTTCCCTATACCCCTGCCCTCCCTTCACCTCCTCCTCCCTTCCCTATTCACAAAAACTTTATTTTCATTTTCTCATACTTTTTCTTTTCCCTTGTTTCCTTTTCCCTACCCTTCCCACTTCCCCTACACCTTTAGCCCTTTTATTCCTATTACACATTGTCGATTATATCATTACGATCTTATTTACAATTATAGATTTTCACACCAGAGAAATATTTGAGTTTTACACATGTGTGACATTTATTTTACTTAAGAGTATAAGCTCAATTTTTATATCAATGTTTTATAGAAAAATTGGTCTATGATTTCTTTTTTTCATAACCCTTTTCTGGTTTTGGTATCAGGGTAGTGTTACCTTTTGGGAATGAGTTGGACAGTACTCCTTCTCTTTCAATTTCATTGAAAATTCTGAGGTGTATCAGCATTAGATCTTTTCTAAAGTTCTTGGGATTTCAGTGCTAAATCAATCAGGCCTTAATCTTTTCTTATTTAGTAGATTTTTTATTACTGCCTCAATTTCATTGTCTGTAATTGAGCTGTTCATTTTTATAATCATCTTGATTAAATTTTGGGAACTCATATGCATCTAGAAATCTACTCATTTCTTTTAGAAATTCTCCAGTTTAGCGGAGTATAAGTTTCCAAAGTAGTTACTTATAAAACTCTGGATGCTACGAGTGTCTGTTGTGATTTTCTCCTTTTTCATTTCTAAACACATCAATGCAGATTTGACAGGGAGTCCAGGTGGTTGAGTATCAGATTGTTCCATCCCATTCCTCTTTGGGGTTGCCTTAGGCGATCTGGATGTCTGGTTTGGAGACTTATTTACATGTCTTCTCATTTCTACAGACTCAGCCTACTGTACCTTTGTTGAGACAACTCTTTGCTCACCCAGTGGTCTTCAATTTTCAGCGAGCCACCAAGCATCCTTGTCTCTGCTGCTCACCTGTACACCAATGTCTGAGTTCAGAATGGTGGCCTTCTGCATCCCTGAGCTGACCTGTTGCCTGGGCAGGCTTTTGGCTGGGACCTGTGCACACTTGGGATGGTATCTAGGTGTGCCTCTTGCTGGGGCCCCTATGTAGATGTTGCTTGGGTGGGCTTTAGGCTGGGGACTGTGCACCCCAGTTCCTGTTGTCTGAGTAAGCTTCTGGCTAGGGTCTCCATGCATTTGTGTTATTGGGGCAAGCCCCTGGCTTTTGCTAGTGCACCTGTGTAGCTATTTTCAAGGTGGGCCCTTGGCTGAGGCCTGTGTGCCCAAACCACTGGGGTCAGGGTGGGGCCCTGGCTGGAATCTGCTGCAGTCACGTTGCTCTGGTCCACACCCACACTGCTGTTCCCCAAGATCTGGGCTCACCAGCTGGGTGGTCCTGTGCAGCTCTTTTTGGGCAGCCTCTTCAGGTTTCTATATGTTTCACTTTTCCGCATGTTGAATTCTTTTACTGTATTTGAAAATATTCTATGGTACCTGTAAACATATGTCTGTGCCATTTCTGCTGTCTTCTAAAGTCTTTTTAATTCCTATTGATCTTAGTTTAGACTTCTTTGTGCCATCTAGCAACTGTTGGGTCCATTTTCCCTGAATTCTTGTGTTTTTTCAGGTAGTGATGAATAGATGTTCACCTTCCATCACCTTATCTATCTTGTAGTTCTGACACTCTCTTCTCACAGGGAATTTTATTACCACAGAAGAATTATAAATGTTTACGTTGGTACAGATACCATGGACCCATGAATGAAAGCATCACACTGTACTCATACATATGTACAATATTATGTGGCAAAAATTTAAAAATAGCAAATATTTGAGCAGAAATACAGATAGCAAATAAGCCCCTGTAAAAGTGCTCAGCCCCATCTGTCACTAGAAAATGCAATCGACAGCCACAGTAACCATGAACGTACACTTCTAGAAAGGTTATAATTAAGAAAGACTAACAAGGGGCCGGGGATTTAGCTCAGTGGTTCCAGGGCCTGCCTGTTAAGCACAAGGTCCTGAGTTCAATCCCCGGTTCCCCCCGCCCCTCCCCCAAAGACTAACAAATCTGAAGGACGCAAGGATGTTGAGGAACTAGACTTCTCATATAATGCCCCTGATCATATTTAAAAGACGAACTGCCTTGGAGAACATGCTAGCCCTTTCTGGATCTGGTTATGACACATCTGCATCATTCCTTTCACCAAGCAGCATTTACCCAAGAGAAATGAAGACATATGTCTATCCATAGATTTGGACACAAACGTCCACAGCAGTCACACTGGGGATCAGCAAAAACTGGAAACAACTCAATTCAGTCTTCACAGTGAAATAGAGAAGCAAAGCACGGAACATCCAAACAATGGAAAACTACTCAGTAAGAAAAGGTAATGAACTAATGCAAGGCAATGGGCAAATCTCAAAGCAAATGTGCTCAATGAATATACAAGGAGTTAGAAGATACATACAAAATTTACAGAGAATAGATGTGTCATTAGTTTTGGTGATGAACTTTCTCATATATCTTTGTATACACATGTATATATTTACATCTATCTATCTATACATATACATATACTCATGAGTAAATATCAAGGTACATATCTATATGCACGTCTTCCTGTACACAAATACATATTTTGGTCACATGAAGAATACTCAGATGTGTGGATATACATATATATGTGTGTGTGTGTGTGTGTGTGTGTGTGTGTGTGTGTGTGTGTGTGATTTATCTACATATGTATGAAAAGACATAAAAATTTGAACAGTTTTAATATATAGTTACTGCTTGCTAATTTCAATAAAGCTCTTAAAAACAATAGTAAAATGCCTTTTGCATAAAATTTTAGATTATATTAGTAACTTTAGTATGATATACAGAAGTGAAATACAATACGTACCATCTGTAGTATACGATGTATAATATAATATGTAATGTTCACAAACAGAAACAAGGTTCTACAAACCATCAATAGTATCAAACATCTGAGTTTTTACTTTTAGCAAGCATTGATCATATTGTCGCACATATTTGTTGAGGGAATACAGTATGTTTAGCGACATAAAGTATATGTTTGCAAAACTAAATGTGGTTTCGGTCATTCGTCCTTGTTAGGATCGGGTTAAGGAAAAATAGACCTTAACAAAGGATGGCAAAGGTACTTGAAATGCACGTGAGTCAAAATGAAACAGTAGAGGAAGGAAGATGGCATCCCTTGGGCTCTGCAGGTGAGAGAATCGGTAAAAGCCGAGTTCTTCCTCTCTCAGGCTTGCTCCCCGTGGATCTGCACCGCCCCGTAATCACATGAGACAGAAATCTTGATAAATGAGAGGCTTTGGATATTGAAGCCCAAGGGCCGCAGAGCCTGCAAATAGGCTACCTCTGGCCGCTCCCCCAGCCTCGCCCAGGTCAGGAGGCAGCAGCCCTGACACAGCTCAGCAGCCAGCATCTCTGCACAGGAGCCAGGTGCTTTATCTTTCTGTGTTCTCCGAGAACAGAGCTCCCACTTATTTCTGCCACACCCGGCCAAGATCTGAATGTCCTACCTCAGTGTTGGCACTCAGGTAATCTGAAGTCTGCCATTGTACCTTTTGTCAGTAGTGACAGGTGTTTGTCTACAGTGCCTTTTGGGGGCTAGAGATGAGACATGAGGAATGTGAGCAGAGCTGTCAGTTGTGTGGGGCTTGCATAATCATCATCTTCAGGGACCGGAGATTTAGCCCAGTGGTGCAGCGCCTGCCTAGCAAGTTCAAGGACCTGGGTTCGATCCCCAGTTAGGCCAAAAAAAAAAAAAAAAAACCCAAACAAACAAACAAACAAAAAAACCCACCTAAAAACCAAAAACCAAAAAACAACCCCCCCAAACTCCACAACAATAATCATCATCTTCAGATGTTTCCCACTCTTATGCTCCGAAAGTGGTGCAATTTTCATTCTGCTTATGTCTAACCCTGACCCTGGGGTCCAGGGATATTCTCTAGCCTAAGAGTCATCTTCTGCTGCTCACCTTGAAAGATGATCTGTAATTCTGTATCCAGAATTTGGCAAGCTGCAAAGGTGTATGGCCAGCTGTTTTTACTGTTCCCTTCCCTGTCTATAGAGCACATCTTTAGCTGGCACTTTTCCCCCTGTACTTGACTATGCCACAAGAGAGCAGGTGGAGAGGATAGCAGATCCCAAGACTAAACACTAGCCTGCATGTTTTTCTGTGACGTAATGAAAACTGAAAAGGCAGAAGAGAAAGAGAACAAATAAACACATACCAGAGAGATTATTCGGTATTCACACATGTGTGCCTTATTTATTTCACTTAGGAGTATATCTTCAATAATAATCTGCAATAATACAGAAGATCCTAATAAGATTCCTGACATTGAGAAATGGGAAGAAAGGAGCTAAAGGTGTAGGGAAGGTGGGATGGGTAGGGGAAGGGTAATAAGGGAAAAGAAAAAAATGTGAGATAAAGAAAAGATGGAAATAAAGTGTTTGTAGATGGGGAGGGGAGGAGGGGGTGAAGGGAGGACAGGGACAAGGGGAAAAATTGGGAACCAAGACCTGTTGTGTAGAGGTACGAGATCCCAACAATGAATGTAACTGTACCGGATCCCTAAAATGTACCAATAAACTCAATTAAAGCTGAAAAAAAAACACATATCATTGCATTTAGCCTTACCCAGTGTTGACATTTTACAAGAAGAGTGTTTTTCTTAAAAATCACAAAAATCTATTTTATCAATAAATGTAACATTTTCACTCCTCCTTTTTGCAAAGACAACACTTAAATTAACTTTTCTTCAGGTGTTATTCTAAGGATTTTACCCATTGCACAGTGTCACATGTGAGTATGTGAGTGTCTATCCATATGTGTCTGCTGTACGAATGTGTGTGTGTGTGTGAGCTTTTGTAATGTTTGTTTATATAATGTGATGTAGCTAGACACTGGCACTTGGTAAGGTCATTAAAATTAATAAACCAGACAAAAATTATCAAGACCAAAAAGTAATTAAACATACTACTTTTGGCAAAAGTGCTATATATAACATATGATGTTTCAAAATTTCAAACAAGAAGATGGTCTGTCTCATACATGGAATCTGTAAACAGTCAACTTGAAAGTAGACTGGTGAATAGCAGGCATATGGAGAAATTTTAGGGGGAGGATAAAGGGCATACACGGGATTTTTAACAGGGCACGTTGTGCACAGGTATGGAAATGCCACACTGAACTCCATTAATGTAAAAAGTTAATACGTATTAATTTTTTAAAAACAGAACAAAAACTAGAACATGGTTTCCAGGAAGAAAAATTCAATGTATTGAAACTGCAGAGGAGTAATCATTATCATGTTATGAGTAGGTAGCGTTTCCTTTGGGAAGAAAAAGCATGACCCTCATATTGGTGGGACTTTGTATAAGTAAAAATGTACAATTTTTATCTAAAGCAATCCTGACAATCTACTTTAATGATGACCTCTGTATACCTAGGTCTTTAGCCTCTTTGAAGTTTTTTTTATATTTGAAATATAAGAAATTGAGAATATCGGTGGTATTTAAAAAATCTATTTAAATTTTATCATTCCATACATGCTTTATAAGGCAAATCACTTTTTTTCTCTTTCATTTCTTTTGCATTTGCTGCCACAGGTAGACTATTTGTTCTAGTTGCTAGACATTATCTCACATGTACGTGAGAAGTTAGCACGGAGGCCATGGATCTGTGCACACTTCTTGCTTCCCTACATACGTGAGATTCCCAGGGGAACTTTGAGTACATCAATCCTTTCCTCTACTGTGCGATTACTCAACTGAGAAATTTTAACGTGGTGGTGTATTTTTCTTCTATCCTTCTACATTTCATCCGACTCATCATTTTTATTCCATCGTCAACTGTGCCAAGCAGTCTGATCATATCCATGGCAGAAACAAATCACGACAGACATATTCAGCATCTCAGACTTAATATTAAGCATCTTAAGTCTTTGATCTTCTTATTTCTCATTCTTGAAACCCTGTTGTAAGGTTGTGTAACATTTCCCCCCTTGTACCAGTGAGAAGACTGAGGTTTCTTACACAGCTCCAAACCATTTCTGTTACAGAGCAAGCACTACAGCAGTCTTGTCTCAGTTGAAATCCTAATGGAAGCTGAGATTCTCCATTTAGATTTAACATTGTTTGCTTTTGGTTTTCCTGACAATATAAGGTTTGGAGAATTTTCAAGGGAAAAGCCATACATTTTTTTTTCTGTTTGATTCCTGCCTGTTGCAATATAGGGAAAGAGTAGATTTTCAGCAAATAAAATTTGGTTAATAAGATAGCATAGGATAGGAGAGGACAGAAAGAAAAGAAGGTGGAAAGGGAGACACGAGCAGAAGATAGAGTAATATTTGCTTCACTTTACTATATAGCTGTAAGAATTTTCTAAAGTAATAAATCTGATCTCTCTCCCATTACCTGTATTTTCCCACTAGTCTCATCACAAATATGGAAGCAAAAAACCAAACAACTACAGCAGAATTCTTTCTTCTGGGCTTCTCAGAGGACCCAGAACTGCAGCCCCTTATCTTTGGACTGTTCCTGACCATGTACCTGGTCACAGTGCTCGGGAACCTGCTCATCATCCTGGCCGTCAGCTCTGACTCCCACCTCCACACCCCCATGTACTTCTTCCTCTCCAACCTGTCCTTCACTGACATCTGTTTCAGCTCCACCACGGTCCCCAAGATGCTGGCGAACATCCCGAGACAGAGCAGAGCCATCAGTTACACAGGCTGCCTCACCCAGCTCTGCTTTGTCCTGGTTTTTGCTGGAATGGAAATATTTCTGCTTGCAGCAATGGCCTATGACCGTTACATAGCCATCTGCCATCCACTTCGGTACACAGTCATCATGAACTCCCGCCTGTGCATTCTGCTGACTCTGTTCTCATTGCTCATTAGCACTGTAGATGCCCTGCTGCACAGCATGATGGTACTTCATCTGTCGTTCTGTGCAGACCTGGAAATCCCCCACTTCTTCTGTGAACTGGACCAAGTCATCAAGCTTGCCTGTTCTGACACCCTCCTCAATAACGTCTTGATATTCACAGTGAGCAGCATATTGGGTGGTGCTCCTCTCCTTGGGATTATTTTCTCTTACTTTAAAATTGTTTCTTCTGTTCTGAGAATGCCCTCGGCTGAGGGAAAGTACAAAGCATTTTCCACCTGCGGATCTCATCTTTCTGTTGTTTCCCTGTTCTATGGGACAGCTTTTGGGGTGTACATCAGCTCTACAGTGGCTGACTCAACCAGGAAGGCTGCAGTTGCCTCAGTGATGTATGCAGTGGTCCCTGCAATGATGAATCCCTTCATTTACAGTCTGAGGAACAGAGATATGAAGGAAACCTTGAAGAAACTGACCAGGACATCTCACTTTTTGCAACTGTGTCATCTGCGTTGGGCTTCTAGAGAGAGTCAAAGAACAGGGACACGAAGTGAGCCAAAGGTTTAGACCCTTCTACCAGCAAGTGCTTAGGAGAAGGGTGTTTCAACTTAGATTAGAAAACTGACTTTGGCTTTCTATAGCTTAGAGATTTGCAAAAATTTTTTACATTTCTGAGCTTGATTTCCTGGTCAGTTTGCACAGAAGTAGAATCTGAGCAAGTGATTCTTCTTGTAGTGGCTGGGGAGGGAGGTTGCTTCTCAGAATTTTACTAGCAGCAGGATTATGGGACAAAGCAAGGAGCTGAGGAAATACTTCATTGCAGTTAAAGAACCAGGCTTACTCCACGGATAGTGCCACGTGTATAGTTTCCCTGAATTATTCTTGTCTGAAGGCCTGCTTTATAACCCCCTGTGATATCCTAAGCACTGTTACCTGGGCTGTGACAATGGATTTCCTGACAGGTTTCTGTTCAGCTGAGGTAATATGCCAGAGAACAGAGCATCTACTCATTATCATCAGTGAACGCCGGCATTACTGAGGCTGGACTCAGTGGTTAAAAGTATTGTTTGTACGGCACTAATACCACCAACTATTCTTGGCTTCCCATCAATGAAATTGTTCTAAGTTTTCTATTGTAGAATTTAACATGCTTATGAAGTGCTTGAATTCCACCTATGAGTATGGCAATGTCTCCAATGTTATAAAAGTGATTCCAGTCAAATTTGCTCAATCATTTTAATAAATCGAGGGAAGGAGGGGTGCACCTGGGCAGAGCATACTGTGCTCATCACATCTGAGTGTGCTTTACCCTTGTGCTGTCTCTCCTCATGGCCAGTGGATAAAGCCTGGATCACTTTGAAGGTTTCTGATTCTAATGTGACACTGAGAGACAGAAAAGTGACTAGGATTTCCCTGGGTCTCATTTTAATGGAGTTATTCAGGAACCATACTTTGACATATTGTAGACCAAAATTGGGACCTCTGCCCATCTGGAATCTAATCCTTGGTGAGATGAGTGGGGTCATCATGAGCAGAATAGACTAAGCAGCTCAGAGGTTCACAGCCCTTGCTGTGTATGTGAATCAGCAGGACCTCTTGTGGCAAATTTCTTTGGTCAGTTCCGTTGTTCTTGAGAGACTGGGCTTCAGTGCGAGGAGTGGGCCTTGAACGTGCATTTCTAACATGTTCTTATGTGTTGCTAAAGTGAGCAGTCTGAGGATGGTCTCTTCAATACTACTGACGCAGTGTGTAATTTTGGCCTCTTAGCAGAATCACTGGAGAACCGAAAATACTCAGTTAAGCTTGGTATGATCATATTCCACACCCAGGCCCATTTCTTATTTTATTGCAAGTGAAGAAAGCCTGAAACAAGAAGAAATATGTTAACACGGAGAAACCCAAGTTCTCAAAGCCAGTACCAGATGTCTCTTGTATAGTCTTCATCTGTCAAAAGTTATGTGAAATAACTTTAGTTTTTATTTTTTTCCTCATTGAGTTTATTGGTACATTTTAGGTATACAGTACAGTTACATTTGGAATAACTTTAAATATCTGTATGAATCACTGAAAAAAAAAACCAGATATTGAAGCTACCATTTTATGAACATGGTTGTTGCTGTCTGTACCTGTGTGGAAAAGAGATTGATTCTTTTACTCCCCACTAACTATAATGATGAACAAGTGTACCTCGCAGAAAATCAGGATTTAGATATTTTTATTGTTGGTGTAGTTTTGCAAAACACAATAATTATGTTCATCTTGGGTACTAGCAACATATACATATCAAATCATTTTCATTATCATTTTAGTGAATTAGTATGTGTGTAGTGTGTAATGATTATGTTCCTTGTGCACAATGAATACCGGTATACAACACATCTTCTTTCCTTTTAAAACCATTTTTCCCTTCCCTCCCTTCTCCTGGACCCCCTCTTCCTCTTTATGTTTGCATATGGAATCTGGACCGTGTTTATTTCCCTCCCCCACTTGATACTCTTTTCCTCCTTTCCTCAGATCCCCTTCCTACATTTGTAGATTCTACATCTTATTTTGCTAATACCTTTTAAGAAGCATTTACATATTGCTGAAAACACAGATGACTGTTTTATAAGTATATGGGTTCATTAGCTATAGCTTTCAATGATGTTGATAAGCCTTCTATGTACTACACAGGTCTTGTTTTGTGGAAATGTCTGTAGTAGGCTGCAGATGCTAAATTCCCTGATTCTATAAATATACAACCTATGCGTGAATCAAAACATCACATTTTTCTCACTGAGTTTATCGGTACATTTTAAGCACACAGTATGATTACATTCATCATTGGGATCCCGTACCTCTACATGACAGCTCTTGGTTCTCATTTTTCCCCCCATCCCTGCCCTCCTTCACACCCCTCCCCTCCCTATTTACAAACACTTCATTTCCATTTTTTCATTTTCTCATATTTTTTCTTTTCCCTTATTTCCTTTCCCCTACCCTTCCTACTTCCCCTACAACTTTAGCCCTTTTCTTCCTATTACACATTGTCAATTATACCATTATGATCTTATTTACAATTATAGTTTTTCACACCAGGGAAACTATTCGGTATTTACACATGTGTGACTTATTTATTTCACTTAGGAGTATATCCTCAATAGGTATCCATTTTCCTATGAATGAATCTAATTTCTCCTTATTTATGGCTGAGTACTATTCCATTTTATACAAAAACTGCATCTTCTTTATCCAGTCTCCAACTGATCGGCATTTGGGCTGTTTCGAAGTTTTAGCTATTACAGATTGTGCCGCTATAAACATGGGTGTGCATATGTCACTGTGATATGATTCTTTTAATTCTTTTGGAAAGACACCCAGCAGAGGGATGGCTGGGTCAAATGGAACCTCTAATTCTAGTTTTTTGAGGCATCTCCATAATGATTTCCATAGCGGTTGCACCATCTATACTCCCACAAACAATGGAGAAGGGTTTGATGCTGGTAAAATTAAAGGCTTTAAAGGGAAGGGGAAAACAAGAATTTCAATGTGATATGTACATGTAATAATTCCTCACAGGAATGTCATTATTGTGTATAGCAAATATGTCCCAATAAAACAAAAAAGAGTAATGAACTACTGACACAAATCAGTGGGTGAATCTTAAAACAAGTGTATTTAGTGAATATACAAAGAGTTTCACAGAGAGATACAAGAAAAATTTCATAAGTCATCATCAGTTTTGGTGATGAAAATTCTGATGTCTGTATACAGATACTGGTATATATATATATATACACACACACACAAAGATAAACATCAAGATACATATATTTGTAAATCTATATGCACACATATTGATCATGTGCTAATAAATACTTCGATAGCTATATATATATAAATAGAAGTAGATATCTCAATACACATATGGCAAAATGTATGTATTTGAACAATTTGAGTATATGCTTACTATATGCGAATTACAATTCAATAAACCTATTAAGACCATAAAATTGGTTTTCTGCATATGAATTACATAGAATATTTAGTAGCGATATATTAGTACCATAACAAATATATATCATGATTACATCATCTATTTTATGTGCTATGTAATATTCATAAGGAAAATTAATGATACATGAAGCATACATAGTATTAGATCTCTGAATTTTTATTTTTACATACATTTATTATATTTTCACACAAATTTACAGAGGGAATATACATATGTGGGTGTATATGGAGATAGTTATATGGAGAGAGAGAGAGAAGCAGAAATCTATGAACACTTCAGGAAGAGAAATACTATGATTGTTAGAGAGATGGCCTTACCCTCCTACGGAGGACCTTAGCGAGTGTCATGTGTCACAGAAAGCCCACTACACTGCTGGCCCTTAGAGAACAAATTGAAAATGCACCTGCAGCAATCTCCACGACCAAGGTTACCCGAGCAGCATTTGACAGAGTAATAGATGTCTGGAAGCCAACGGCCACTACTTTGAGCACCTCTTGTAATCACACAGACCAAAGGTAACTTGGACCGATCTCATGATACCTCAGTACGTTTAGTGTTAAAATATTTATAAGTTTTTCTCTTCTTGAAATGTGCGCAATTCTAGTTTTAAGGGAAACTAGACATGGACGGCAGAACCACAGTAGGCCAAGGAGGGCAAGGTACTTGAAACACCCGTGAGGCAAATGAAACACTGAGGGAAGAAGGTGACGTGAAGTTGACCTCCAGGTGAGAGAATGGACCCAAGCCAAGTTCTTCCTCTCTCAGGCTTGCTCCCCATGGATCTGCACTGCCCCGTAATCACATGAGACACACATTTCGATTAATGAGAGGCTTTGGATATTGAAGCCCAAGGGCCACAGAGCCTGCAAATAGTCTACCTGTGGCCGCACCGCCAGCCTCGCCCAGGTCAGGAGGCAGCAGCCCTGACCCGGCTCAGTGACCAGCATTTCCGAACAGCAGCCAGGTGCTTCTCCATCTGTGTTCTCAGAGAACAGAGCTTTCATTTATCTCCCTCACGGCCAGCCAAGATCTGAACGTCCTTCCTCTGTGTCGGCATCCAGGTAATGTAAAATCTGTTGATTTATCTTTTGTCAAAAGTGACAGACATTTGTGTATCAGTCCATGTTGTGGGCTAGGAGATGACACGTGAGGAACACGTGCACAGCTCAGTTTTGTGGCATTTGCCCAGTTTTCATCATCTTCAGATATTCGCCTCTTTTATGCAGCAGAATCGGAGCAGTTTTCATTCTGCTTTTGTCTAACTCGGAGCTGGGGTCCGGGGATGTTTTCTGTCCTAACAGTCATCTTCTGCTGCACGCCTTGAAGGGTATTCTCTAATTCTCTGTCCTGTTTTTGGCGGGGTGCAAAGGTCCATGGCCTTCTTCCTGTGTAATTACAGAGCACATCCTGAGCTGACCCTTTTCCTGGTTCATGAGTATTTCACAAGACAGTAAGTGGAGAGGAAAGCAGTTCCCGACACACATTAGCCTGCGTGTTAGTGTATGAAATACTGAAAAGTTAAAAGGCAGAACAGCTGAGAAAAAACGCCAGAATGAATAAGCACTTATCT